GGTCTTACAACCGCATTTGATGATCTCCATTAAACTATGCCTACTATATTATTTAAAATATACAATTTTAATTTATAAGATTAATTTTTACATGAACATAATAATTCATACTTAAACAATATATTAAATTTAAATATGATGACATTAACGAATAAATAACAATAATTAAACGTGTACATAGTATGCATCACTACTACAATAACAAAATTAATATTTTTCAATCTTATAATCAATTTTATATAGCCGGAGTTAGTTTCGACCTAGGCAAACTTTTGCTAAAAAGGTACACTTTCTCCATCAAAAGGCTTTTTCTATGAATGCAATAACCTGTTCGAAGCACGAACTCCTGTAGACCAAACCCAGTACGATTTTCAATCGTACGGGAAATCCACTCACGAAGCTAAGTGGGGTAGGGCCTGCACAGTCAGCACCATTTTTTTAAAGAATATTTTTAATACATTGTATAATGTGTCGGGGTAAGGTACTGACGGGACTACACTACACTTGGTAATGATAACTTATCATTGCTATCGATTTCGTGTCGATGTAACGACGATAGCAAACAGGGTGAAAGTCTTATCACATCCTCGTAATCGTATGTCTTTCCCTTATCCATTTCAACCAAGACACAAGAGGCACATCCTAGCTAGGCTAGTTAAGACACAAGTTTGTCAGCTATAGTTCGGTTATGACTGTCTAAAACTATCCATAATTTGTTACAAGTAACAATCTTCAAGAATCTGGTTGCTGTAACTAGAATTGGAGTTTCATTAGCAATTTCTTCGCGGTGAAAACAACACTTTATTACAACACCAGCAAACTGCCCGCCGCTAGTCGCCATGTTGTTGTTTACTGTTGTTGGCTGTACCACAACACGTGAAGTTATTGTAACAAGAACAATTTAATAGTAGTCTAAAAAATATTATTCTGTAATTAAAATTCAAATTATATCTAATTATAATTTTTAAATTTGTTTCTAAAGCAGTAATACGAAGTTCGCAAATAATAAACTACGTATCAAAAATACAATATTCGAACGAGTACAGTGACGTATATAAAATGTCGTGTGCTAATCTAGCGCAAAGAACTTTCAATTTCGTAAGTTTAAACGTCATTTTCTCGTATTTGCAGAAGTTCTGACGGTCGAACTTTTTTCTGGTGCTTTTAAATATTATTATAATAATTATCATAATGAGTGAAAGTATTAGGAAAATTTCGGAACGGGACTGAACGTTAGGATTTTCACCCCATGGCCTATAACCCACAGAGGCCTAGAATGGCAATATCTTTAGACTAATTTGTAGGGCATCTGGCAAAAATAAATAATTTTAATTTTGTTTTGTTTTGTTTTGATTTTGTTTTTTTGTTTTGTTTTTTTTTTCACCCCTAGGCCTATTCTTTTCAGTGAGTTAGGGGCGGTGGAGGAGGGCAAACAAACAATTTATATTTTTTGGCCTGATGTTGATGATGACGATGCATATGATAACGACACGACGATGCTGATGAAGAGGATGATGATAGGACGACATCGACATGATCTTACTTGAATCTTCGGGCTCTTTGTAACTGAGGCCACAGCCTTTTAAACGCCTCCATTTCTATTCATTTCTTTAAAATTGAAGATTATGATGAAAATGATAATATGAGAATAATAATAAGAAGGAAATATTATAGAACCATAATTTTTTGGGTTTTTTTTTTTTTTTAAATATGAAACCTATAAAAATTGTCTTGTGTCCATTATTATTACAGTATTGTGATTGATCGTATCACAGAATTGAAAAAGGCAAGCGCATGTTCACCGAGTGCAGGATCGCCATGACGTAGATCACCATAATAAAGATGTCACTGCAGCGTACAAAACCGCTTGACCTAAACAGAGTTTGAAGTTCAATGTTCCTGTGTGGTTTATTTCAGTATTGATGATCCACGTCCTTTCCGTTGACGTGTAGGCCTATCGCCTAGCTTTGTATTTGATTTAGCAGTTACAGAAGTGACAATATTTCGTGTTTCAGTGAAAAACAATAGTAAGGGTTATACAGTATGATCGAAATAACAGATCTTCAAAGTAAGTTAATGTAATCCAGGTATCCCTATTTACAGTTGTGTAACCTATTTTCCAGTCCAGCTGCCTTGCAAAGTTAAAATTTATCTGCGGGAGAAAGTGATCCAAGCCACGCGTTACGGAATATAAGTAGGCCTAGCAGGCCTACTGTTGGCCTAGCAATTTATCACATCACTTGCCGTTCGTACAACTGTATCAGAAGGTTTTTGAAACACCCAACTTATTGTCGTCGTCATTATTTGTCTCTTTTTTGCCCTTTTTTCATTGCAACAATTTTAAGGAAGTTGCCATCACAACAAACTTGAACCCGGAATAGGCCTAGAAGGCTAGGCCTAGGCCTATTAATTCTTTCTTTTAAAAACCAATATTTAATTTCTAAGATTTCTGCTACTTACTTGCTTCAAAAAATAAAAGAATGCATCGTCTTGAAAACGTTACCATATGAAACTTTGCAAGTAGGCCTAGGCTAGGCCGAGTCGGCTATGTTTTCTCTGTTGCAGGATTGAGCAGATTGGATAAATTATTAACAAAGTCATCTATTTTATCTTGCAGAGATCGGTGTTGGCCTTGCCGGCTTTGGCGTTTTCTTTTTATTTTTAGGAGTTCTGTTCTTTTTTGATGGTGGACTTTTAGCTATTGGAAATGTAAGTATAGTATTATAGATCATTTGAAAGTAAACATTAATTCTTATTAAATGGTTGTTGTTGAATTGATGTTACTTTAATTTGAAGTAAGCTCTTTGATTTAACAAAAAAGTTGTTATAAACATTGTGTTTGATTAGTTGTTGGTAGCGGCCAGCAGCCAACCTTCATACTGATGGAATATGTAAATTGATGATATATTTCTTACCATTTCATTTGTATATTTCACCATCAAACTGTATTTGTAATATTTGTTACGTACCTGAAATTTTTATAAATAACGATAATGATTTTTTTTTTCTTTTGTTTTTCAGATTTTGTTTTTATCTGGTTTAGCCTTGGTAATTGGTCTTGAGAGGACATTCCGGTTCTTTTTTCAGAGCCACAAATTAAAAGCTACTGGGTTTTTTGTTGGTGGCATGGTTGTTGTATTAGTTGGATGGCCACTTGTTGGCATGTGTGTTGAAACATATGGATTCTTTTTGCTTTTTAGGTATAATTCAAATTTCATTTTTATTTTCAATAATATGCTTGTCTAAAGCCCTATCAAATTTTATTTGATAATAAACAAGGCTAAATATGGTCATGATAACGTCACATCATGACCATATTGAGGCACATCATAATTATATACGTATTATAAACATAACAGTTTTTTGTCAAAATACGTTTGATAGTCTGTATTGGACGTTCTCATTTGATCATTTTTTTGGCACTTCAGTGTTAATATTTATTAAAGGAATAAAAAATGTTTGAAATTAACTTCAAAATGCATAACTGCAGTGATGTTCTCAGTCAATGTTGCGTATTCATAGCAACTCAAATCTATTTTTTTCTCTCTTTTTATTACAGGGGTTTCTTTCCAGTAGCAATAAACTTTTTGAGGCGAGTACCAGTAATAGGAACATTACTATCTTTACCTGGAATAAATTCAGTAAGTATAACTTCTTGCACAGCTTGTATTCAAATGATTATAAAATTAATTACAAATGAGCTTTCCATCCAAAAACTAGCCTACTGTCGTTGAATGTTAGACTGGGCATAAGCATAGCATAAGAATGTGGCAGTTACTGTATACTTTTACTCATAACCTTTTACAATAAGTCGATTCCAGTAAATAACATATCATTTTATAGCTTGTAATGTGGAGAATAAAAATATATTAAAAAGTCAGTTTTCTTGGTTTTGGTCACTAATGCTGGTTTTGGCATGACAAGACCCAAACCTCTTTGTACATAAATAACTGTGGTGATGATGAGCAGGCCAATGGTGGTAAGGATGATGATGATGGGCAGAATGAGAATGGTGGTTATTGGGAGGCTGATGATGGTGGTGGCGGTGGTAGTGATGATAAAGCGCAGGCTTGGAAACAAATATTTTGTGCCTCCGACTATGAAAATTGTCTTGATAAATGCCTCCAGCACCAAATGTTATCCGTACACTATATATAACCCACCAGTTTATTTGATTTTTTTTTCCCCTCCCCCTCCCAAAATGCCCGGAATATTCATGATACCACTGATCACGTAGTCACACATTTTTCCAGACCTTATGAGGCATCTGCTGTTGGCGATTAAAAGTAGTTATAAGGCAGATGGTGATTAGGAGGCCTATGTTAGTGACAGTGATGATAATATAGTTCTGGTCGTGATTGATCTAGAGGTTGATGGTGGTGGTGGTGATGGTGATGATGATGAGGCAGTTGATGGCAGTGACTATAATGTTTATAGTGGTGATCAGTAAGAAGCTGGCGATGGTGATGAGGAGGCTTACATTGGTAACAGTGGTGATCAAAAGACTGATAAGGGGTAATGAGATGGCTGATGTTGGTGATGATGAGGCAGCTGTGATGTGTGCCTCAAGTGATAAGAATCTGATGGTTGTTATGATGAGGGAACTGCTGGTGATGAGTAAAGTTTGACTGCTGGTGCTGACAGTGATAATCAGCAGCTGATGATGATGTGGAGGGTGATGGTGGTAGCACAATAAGGAGAGCGGATGAGACTGCTGGTTTAACAGTATGGTACAGATTATGATTGTATTTATACAGATGATGGATATAGCAATGTCATGATATTGCAGATGATATGATCTTAAAGATAATTATGGAAACGTTAATGACAATGGTGCTGATGTCATAAAAAAAATGATAAAGTATCTATGATAATGTTGGTGATATTGATGCATGTTTAACTGAATGAGGATGGTATATTTACAATTTTTATTTTATTAAATGAGAGCAACAACTTTCCATTAATCTGTTTTATCTCAATTTAATATCCTCAGTTTGTATCTAGATTTGAAGACCACAATCAGATGGTATGAAGACTTGCTATTTGAGGTTTATGTGCTATGAATATTCAACAGACATGGATGGGTCTCATGAATGTTCATGTGAAATAAAGGTCAAGAAATCAAATGTCAGTTTATGGTGATGTGATAGAAAGAGCTGCGATAAATCAAGGACAATGGGTGGATCCGAACACAAGCGATAGAAACAACTGCTAAACAAACAGACATTGGAAGGATCCTAACGTTGATGCACTAGAAGCAAAGCATTGTGTTAAACAGACACCTGGAGGATCCGAGCACTGATATGATAGGATAGAGGAAGACATACAGGATTCAATTTATAGCTTTTTTTACTGTTGCTTGTTTCTAAGTATTTAAGGACAAAGCTTAGGTGCTTATTACATGGAGGTGACTTAACTTGATTTGATAATTTAAATGTAATGCATCATCTTGAGTAACCAATTCCAGTGATTTAGTATTTTTTGTTATGTTTTATATTTAACAAAAACAACTCCTTGTAATGATTTATTAATGTGAAAAATGAGATAAGATATTCTTCTTAGAATTTTCTCAAATATATTGATTTATATCCATTTCGCTAATACATATTTAGTGATGTATCATTATATAGGTTTGATATAATGCATAGTACCAAGGCCTATAGGCACCTAACATTATTGAAACAGAATTTTTATGGTATGGAACACATTCGTTTCATAGCTTCCCTGGGCAATTATTACAGTGTTTCAAACAATACAAGAGTGGGAATGGAACATTCAAGTCCGAAACCTTGCTTATTTTACTTGCACTTGTTGGCTATGTTGCTAAGCACTACCAAGTTAGGTGACCAGTAAAGTATTACATTAAATTGTGATACTCATATTATTTATCCATTTAGTATGGGCACAGATAGTCTTTAAGTAAGTATTGTATATACACATTTAAAAGAAAATAAATGAAAACAAAAAAAAGTTATCTACTGCAGTCTGTTATGTGCGTGGATAATTTATACAAGTCCTTCTTTGGCGAGTCCAGTGGCTGAACGGTAAGGCAGGGGCGTCTTTAACTGCAGCCCCTAACGGTGCCTGATTCAGGTATTTCCTTGCCCAGTTTTTGGGTTGGTAGAGCCATGTCTTCTCATATAAGAACTCAAAGGGGGAGGTCCAGTGTACGCATCTGGCTTGCGCCCATTGCGTATGTAGTTTTGGAATGATGTGAACCAAGTGCCTCTCTACATACGTCAGCACAATAACGCTGCAAGTTGAGTTATTCTCCAAACTTTACCTTTAATGTGTGTGTGTGTGCATGTTTGTTAGCAGCCTCCTGCTTACAGTTTTAGGTCTATTTGTGAGAAATTTTCAGACTTTGTACTGCTCCTTTTAATTTTGGTGACGATCTGAAGTGGGCTGTGGATTAGCATTAAACTGTTATACTGTTCTACCTACTCTATATATAAACAAAGCGTCTTTTTAATTTTTGTTTTGTTTCTTTGAAATTTATGTACAATTCTGTTACTGATGGGCTTCTTGTCAAGGCTACTTTTGGAAACTAAAGAGGAGTATGGGGGTGGGGCTTCAAATTGATGGGGCTTTTGTCGAAATTAAGCCCATTACTCTTCTATTCAATATTTTACGGTATTCTGCAACTTTCAGGCACCTTCTTTACTTATGAAATTACGTTGCGGTCGAAAAATGAGTGTTATTAAAATCCCCTTAAAAATATGTGGGGGACGTGTGCCCCGTCTCCCCAAGATAGTAACCAGTAGAGCTACTACCCGGTTCCCTCAAGGGGCGGACACAACACCATGGTTGAAAAAATGGCTCCTCTGCTGGGAAATAGCATATAAATACTTTACAAAAATTAATGTCTCACTTTAAAAGGGTGATAAATTTTGATTGCAAATAATTAGGGCCGACTTAATCATAAATTCCTTTGTGTCACATAACAGCCTATATACTAATTCTATCGGAGTCGGATTTTTTAAGTCAATTCTTATAACATAATAATAATTATCGACACCATCATCACTGCCATCATCATCATAATCATCAACATCATCATAACCACCACCACCACCGTCATCATCGCCATCAACATCATTAATATCATCAGAACACCACCATTATTATTATTATTATTATTATTATTATTATTATTGTTATTGTTATTGTTATTATTATTATTATTATTATTATAGGTCTACAAATACAAATTCTTTCCCAGGATCACTCAAAATAAATACTTCTAATCTAAGCCTATGTAAATATGCCTACTATAATAACAAATAGGCCTAAGCGTGATTTTTAAAAATCTTAAATTTTTAAGTCCAGGCGAGGTCTTTCAGATAGAGAAATTTGATATTCTATGGTTCAGTTTGGTTTTTATCGTTTTGAAAGCTTTATAAAGTTTTGTTTTAATAAGTATAGTACTTCTAATAATAATTATGATGATGACAATGAGTATGATGACAATGGTGATATTCAATTCAATTCAACTTCAATTCAACTTTTATTCATTCAAAACAAATTCCAACATTACATCTGTAGAATAAGATAATAGTACAAAATAAAATGAAATGAAAATGATCATAAAGAAACTCCAAGGAGCTTGTGGAAAAGGCCCTGTGAAGTATACGTTAGTTTCAATTACTTAAATAAATATCATAAAAATATTAAATAAAAATAGATAAAAATAAATAAATAAATACAATATATTATCATTTATAAGTCACATACATATAAATAATATTAACATTAGATATTAGATAATTGACCAAGGATAAGTAACGGGGATAGGGGAGGGGATGTAGGGAAATAGGCCTAGGGGAGTTAAGGAAATAGGCCTACCATATCGCCTGGACAACCCATTGTATGTCAAGTTCTCAACAGAGGCGCAGCAGAAAGGTTTGTATAAGACATTAAAACTAGAGCTAAAACTAATAAAATTAAGGATACATCATTGGAGTTAAGAACGTAAAGTAACTTCTTAATAAGTACTTAATAGTGATTTTTTTATATTTTTTCTTAAAAATAGCCAAAGAAGAAGATTGCTTAAGGTGAGTGTCGATATTGTTCCATATTTCATATTTCGGCCTAATAGATAATAATATTAAAAAGTGAAGAAAATTGTGCTAAAGGCGAAAAAGTAAGTTGTGATTTGTTGATCACAATTATTATAATGTAGTTAAAGCTTAGTAAGCTATAGTTAAGCCTAATTTGTATTGGATATTAAGTAGATCCCTGTATGGGATAAAATGGAGCTTCACACACTTCAAAAGACTGTCACAGAAATAATTTGTACTGTCTTATGCGCTTACAAAGATGAAAATTAGCATAATGTATTAATGTTGATAACAAAATTATTTTATTTGGTACCAATCTAAGCTCTTCTTTCCTTAGATGTTAGATGTGCTTGCAAAGAGAGCCACATTTCACACTGAAGGGTGTGTACGACATCAGTAACGTTATGTCAATTCCAAGAATGTTTAAGGTTATATCGGTTGACGAGGAATTTATTGATTAGGCCTATAATAGCAAATTGCATCAATTTATTTTGCAAAAACAAGGTTTCCAGCTTCAGAGTGGGGGGGGGGCACATCCCCTGTCCGCACAAGGGCACATATTGGCGCTAACACCAGGCGCGTAACAGGGGTCTTGGGTATTTATTTTCCCGGTTAGTAATTTACCATACCCACCCCACCCCACTCCCCATATAGAAAACAATACGACATAGGGCTTATCTTATTTATAATATAGGCCATACACGTGTGTTTGAAACTAAATATAGGCCTAAGCATTTTCATCATGGTTATATTTATTACAAACTATTCTTTCACCATCAATACACATTGAGGCCCTTCTTTTAGGTTAAAACGATCTATCTTAAATTTGTCTTTCTTGAGTTTGGGACTATTATGTGTTTTTGATTACGGTAACTTAAAAGGATAAACCAAAAAAAGCCCTAAAAAAATATTTTTGTGTTTTTAATTCTAATTTCGTCGGAATTGATGAAAACTCCCTAAAATATGCAATCTATAGAGGAAATTGGCCTACCGTAACAAGAAATGCGCGCAAAGAATTTAAGAAATCTGAGGTTTTTAGGCACTTTCAGGGGATTAAAAGGGCATTTATAAAGGGGTGGAGAAGATTTTTCAAAGATATTTTCTCCTTGTCCCCCAGTGGTTACGCCATCGGGCAGCATAGATTAAAGGAGTTATGACAGTTTCTGAAGTGGAGAAGGGGTTGCAGGGTGTTGTGAGTCTGGTCATTATGATATCTTCCTTTTTATTGTCGTCTTTATTCTTCTTTTTCTTTCCTTTTCTTTCCCTCCCTCTCCCCTCTTTCTTTTCTCTTATTCAATCAACTTTTATTTCGGAATTTCCTCCATAACAAATACAAAAAGGAAAAGATAAATAATATTACAGACTGTAGGCAGTTATAAAACCTGCTCAATACAAAAGTGTATTCCACTTGGAAAACATAGTCGAGTAATAAAATACTGACTTGACAACACATTTAACCAGGCTGTTTTCAGAAGCATATAACCTTTTCATAAAAGAATAAACTGATTTTCTTACAAATTCGTAAAATGAAAGTAGCCTGCACGTAACAAACATTGCACTTGCACTGCTTTCCCTGGGCTTACCAAGCAATAACCTTAAAGCATTGTTATAGCAAACTCTTAACGAATTTATCGACTTACTCTTATAGTCAGACCATACATTTACACAATAAAAATTCATACAAAAACTTCTAAACAACGTGCACCTTACACTATCCGTACACCTATAGAAACGCCTCTTCAAGTTGGCGCGCATACATAGTGACCTATATTGCCGAGCTATATCAGCATCATCAGTTGCATCACTAGAAAGTACCCAGCCCGGGTACGACGGCTTGGTCAGCCCGGTAAAAACCGTCAGGGGAGGGGCAGTTTTTGAATTCGAGTCCAAGTAAGCAGCGGGTACTGCAGTGTTAATAGTAATTGTTATTGTCGTGATGGAATAGACAATAATTGAATTTGCGTCAGGAGAAACATGTATAGGTGTGATTATTATTATTATGTATATGTGTAATTAAATGTTTATAAGCTTTATTTTCTATGGTACATCACACGTATTAATAAGATCTCTATGGTTTCCGAAAATCCCTGATAAAAAGATCATGAGAAATTTGTTGGCCCTTCATTTTGAGTATATGTAATCAATGCCGTATCCAGCAATTGAGACAGTTGGACAGTCCCACACAATTTTTCTATTGGGTCCACAAAGAATGGGGCAACATTTTCAAAAATAGTTCTAAATTATTCTGTTTTAGCACAAAAATGAGTCCTGTTTTTGAAAAATGGGTCCAGATTTTTCATGTTGCGTAAAATAGGTCAACTTTTAAGAAAATGGGTCCACATTATTTGAATTTACGTGTAAAGTGGGTCCAAAATGATATTGTTCCGCATTGAAAATTCCTTTCACATTAAGAGAGTACTAATATTATTTATCATGCGTTCACGGAAAAAAAGATTATATTTTTGTTTTAAAAAAAATATTAAAATAGTAAGTATTTCCATATGACACGGACTGTGCCAAAATCGAAGAAAAATGGTTTTCATTTGATCTCTTAAACTTAAAAAAGAAACTTTTTATTCTTTATGTTTCACCTAAGGATCATACTAACGTGTTCTGTGGCACTTACGGACCTTGTGAATGGAGAAATGACCAAAAAACAACTAGGTTAAAAATAGCTGTTTTTGTCGGAATTGGAGGATTATTTTACCCTGCTGTTTTCCGGTTTTGTATTCTGCACCTAAGGATCATACGGTCGCGTTCTGTGGCACCATAAGGACTCTGTGAATGGAAGCGTCATCACAAAACAACTCGGAAAAAGTAACTCCGTTGAACATCCAGAGAGCAGGTGTTTATATTCTGGAGACCACTACAAACATCATCTTTTGCAGATGTGTATAAGAGACAGCCTAT